ACCCCCGCCAGAGCTGCCCGAGTGGCTGCGGGACCTGCCGCGGGAGGTGTGCCTGTGCACCAGCACCGTGCCTGGCCTGGCCTACGGCATCTGCGCCGCGCAGAGGATCCAGCAGGGCACCTGGATTGGCCCCTTCCAGGGCGTACTGCTGCCCCCGGAGAAGGTGCAAGCCGGCGCCGTGAGGAACACGCAGCATCTCTGGGAGGTAAGTCGCTCGCCACTCGGCACTTTGCCGTCCAGCCGGAGCTTTGGCCGGCAAAGAGCCTGGCCCTTGGCGGGTGGCAGCTTTGGGAAGAGTCTCCCTCGTTCCCCAAACGGTAGTGGAGACTGGATTTCTCTGGTCATGCAAATGCCTGGTGTTAGCAGCAGTTGCAGGAAGGAGGTGCAGGGCCAGACCTGGCACTAGGCAACCCAGCCAAGAAGACAGGGCCTACAGGGTTCTGAAAATAGAATCACCATAAGCTTCTTTACCAGCTGTGATGGACTTGGCTGTTGCTTTTGAGAAAAAGAGGAAATAACCTGGAGGAGATAGAGCAGAGGAGGTGGGGCGTTAAGGTGTGAGCTATGTGAACTTTGTAGCTTATTTTAAACTCTTCCAGTGTGTTGTTTGTTTTTGCACACTGGGCAAGAAGGAAAATAAGCATAAACGGGAGAAAGGAGAGTCAAGCTCATTTTCTTAGATAAAAACAGTTTGCTAAACGCTCAATATGAGAAACTGTAATATGTTTCACAACTTTCCAAGTGCCCAAAGTAAAGCAAATTGTATTATGAATCAGAAATCACAAATTCTGCTTCTTTGACAAAGTACATTTATGCAGTTCCCAACAAGATAGGAAATCATAACATAGGGAAACTCTGAGCACTTCGGTGTAACTCAACTGATAATACTTCAATGGTACAATTTTACCTGACACTATGACTTAAAAATCAACCATGTATTTGAAAAATATTAACCTGAGGTTTTTTTCAGAGCTTTATGTTGGATTACTGAGGCCCACTTCTGAAGAGACAGACCCTTAATGTAGGTCACCTCCCTACCAGTTTTAGATACCTCCCACCTATGGAGAGTTGTTGATGAAAATAAGGTGCCAGAAGTCTTACTCTTAAGTAGTGTGTAAATCTGAGTGAGGCCATGTAATGGAGTGGGATTAGCCAGAAAACAAACTTTTTAAAATGCCAGGGGCCAAGTTGGCGGGGACCTTAGAGTTCCCTTAATGGGTCATTTCTGCAGCACCTTGACCCCCACATTTGGCTCAGTCACCTGCAAGATGGTCATTTTTACCACACACTGCCTCATACTCACTAATTTAACTTATGGGAGTCGATAATCCACTCAGATTTTTGCTAAACACCCATTCTGGCCAGTACTATGTTAGGCCCTGGAGATTACAGTGTTGTGAAAAACAGACTTGGTCTCTGGAACACTTACGTGATTATTGGCAGTGGCGTGCTAAGACCTGTGTCTGCACAGCTGCCTTTGATGGGGGAGGAGCTAAGTCTGTGAGCTCATAGCCCAGCAGCCCAAGATGAGCCATGGCTACATACCCTACAGATATAACCTGGTGCACTGTGCCCAGGCTTCCAGGTTACATTTCCATTATTGAAAACAATTACACATTTTTAGTCTTTGGAGATAGGGTTCTTGAATGGAGAAAAAAAAAGTTAGGCATATTTATGTTACCAAATAGTGCCTCTTTTAAAAACAGAATTATTTATAGGAAAATGGGGCAAGAGAATACATACAGGCAGTTTAGACTTTAGAGCTTTTGGATAGGAAAAACTGACAAGTGGGAAATAAAGTGTCTGGTTTTGAAATATTTTGTAGTTGGTTTTTGTTTCTGACTAATTAGTTGTAACCTCCAATATGGTTTAGAGTTTATTAAACAATTCCAGACACATTTTATGTTCCAATGGTATTATTAGGAACTGTATACCATACAGTTAAAGGTCTGCCAGTACTTTTCTGAGGAAATCATACAGCAGTTGTTCAGTGGTACAGATTTGTTCTATCTGAAAACGTTAAAACTGAGCATTATTATATTGCCCTCTGATGCCTTGAGTTTAGTGCTTACCTGTTTTTAGAATGCCAGGAGACAAAGCCATAAACATGAGAAAAATTCCATAGTTTATTGTTGTTGTTGGTTGATCCCCCTCTCCCCCCGCCAAAAGGTTTTGGATGATTGGGATGTTGGCAGGAGACCACCGTACAGATAGAATATCATGATATGTATCAATACTGAAAACTCTTGCCTTTCTTCTTTACCTTTATTTGTATGTGATGAAGTTAAAATTCTGTTTTAGTAAAGAGACTGGGGAATTTAATTAGTTGTTGTTGTTGTTGATATTTCAGTGGATACAAAGTGAGTTTTACCTTTTGTTTGTGGTATGTGCCTTGGGTGTGTTGGGGGTTGGTTCATAGGCTTGGTTCTGTGTTATAAAAAAAAAGACTTGCTAGGTTTATGTTTGAACGATCTACTTCTAAATTTGGGACATAATCTATTTATTTTTATCATCTGTAAGAACAGTTAGAATAACATGCATTTAGGGGATTGAAAGGATATTAAAACTGCAGCCATGCAAAATGTATCAGACTCTTGGGAGATCATATAAAATGTGACTGACTGGGGTCGGGTAACTTAGTGCCCACATCCATTTGTAAGATAAAATACTTACTTTAATAGGTTTCAGATTTTTACTAGTTTAATTATTTTAAAAAGATGAAGTATAAGTTTATTTTTAATTTTTAAGCATTATGATTTACTTTTTAATGAAATGTGACTATTTGAATTAAGTTCCCTATATAATAGAAAATTCTAAACGTTGTATTGTTTCTTAGATTTTAGTCTTTTCTTTCAAATCTAAATTCTATTATGAAAAAATTTTAATCATTATATTATTTATATTAGAAAGATTCAGTAATTGGAATACATTATAAGACTATAGGAAACTTTTGGCAATAATTGTTTAATGACTCATGTAGTAATTATGCATTTTGAGAACATACTTTTTAAGATATCTTCCAGAATATCAGATCGACATAAAGCAGATCTTTAAAAAATTAAAAGTAATTGAATCATGAGTATTTCATTTTAAAAGTCAGCTGGAATCGTTTCTCTTCCTCACGTTTTTTCAAGTCACTTGCTGATGAAGAAATGTCTTTATATTTAGAGTTCAATACTTAGGTCCTGTTGGATCTTACTAGGGTTACTTATCTTTATTTCAGTACAATAAATGGATTGCTAATCTTTTCCCGTCACTGTTTCGAAGTAGATGATGGATTTTTGTTTCAGTTTACAGTTCATTGTTTTTAGTATGGTTGTGCTTTATTATACACATGAAGGCTTATTACAGAAACAGTCAGATTCACCTTAGTTACTCCTCTCGTTTAATCATTAAAAGCTCTTTTTTTGGGGGGGGGGAAATGACTTTTTAATATTTAACATACATCAGCCACAGAGAGCTTGTTTGTTTGGTTGTAAGTGTGCTATCCTCTTTTAGTTAATATTTTCTTTGTGTATAATCCTGGTTCGTAAAATTACAACAATTTAAAGAAAGTTGAATATCATTCCATTACCTTCAATATGTTTTGACTCTTTTTGGCATCATGGGAAATTCTAAGAGTTTTTCTTTTCTTTTCTTTTTTTTAGCAATAAGCCAAGGTAAAAATTTCTTTTGTCGTTTAAGAAGATTAAGAAGCTAAAAGCCAAAATATCAGTCATTTTTGGGGCCAATTTCTTTTAGAATCAAAATTTTAATGTGTTTTACAAAAAATAATAGATTCAGATAGTTTAAAACAAACACATTACAGGATGGATTAAACAATCCCTCATCTTGTTTATATACATTTATTCAAACAAGACTTGGATGAATGAAATATTTCTAGGTATTTGGACATAAAGGGAAAAATCTGAATGTTTTGCAAAGAAAACATAGCCTTTCTCAGCAATTAGGTCTTATTGATGAGAGTGAGATAATTTTGTTCTAATGTGTTTTCTAATAAAGAAGTGAAAAGGCATATTTGATTCCAACATTTATGAAAACGCTATCTCAATTATTAATGTGCCCCTTTTCCCTTGAGATAAATTAATCTGGTTGTGCATGGTTTCCCCTTTCTGCTTAACATCAGAATTTAATATGACCGGACCTGAGGAATGTACACAGTGTATACTTAAAATTGTACTGGAAGAAAATACAGAAGTTTAAAATAAAGTTACAATTTAAGGTAGGCTAGAAATAGGCCTTTCAACTCAAAGTCTGATTTGACAAGAAATTTTAGCAACAGTGATGAAATGAATTGCATTTATTTTCACTGTAGGTAGGTTATTCTGTTAATTGAAATAATAGAGTAACTTGTTAGGGTTACAGTCAAGTTACTAGAAAATTCTCCAAGTACTTTCTAGTAGCTAAGAGTTAATTTTACAGAATCTGTCTTCTCTTTGCCTGAGTAAATTTGAGTATCTCATTTTCATTTATGCTAAGTGGAAAACTTCATTATTTTTCTTCAGAAAATCAAGGGGGATAACATAATGTGGTTCTTTTTGTGGTTTGATTTTGTGCCATAATATTTTAGATTTAATAAGAGATTTGCTTTGAAGCAAATGGTCTATTTTTCATCATTACTGTTTAGCTTAGGTCAAAAGACATTAATGAAAACCAATATTAAAAATATATTACACATTGCTAAATGTTTATATTTCAAAACCATTACAGGTAATTGGTACTAGGAGGAAATGAATTGCTTTTGTATTTTAAATATGTATATTTCCATAAGTGATCCAATTCCATATGTAGTACCATACCCATTTGTATATATTTAGATGTTGAAAAAATCATTTAAAATAATCATTTGAAATTCAGTGAAAATCACTTTTAAATTAAATTAAAATCACTTAAAAATTGTTCCAATGATATTACTGTAACTGTATACTCTATATTTTGTTTTATGGAGAAAAATGTTTGTGCTCGTTTTGGTTTGATTCACCAAGACACCAGGAGACAGAATTATGTAGCTATATTGAAATAAAAATTACATTTTTTAGGAATTTATCATTTAATATTCCAGACTGCTTGTCCATTTGGTTTTGAATGTGTCAACTTCATGAAATCCAAATAATTTCTCCTTAGAACTAAACCATAGTAATGTTACTTTTTGTGTTTTTAATTATGCAGAGTAACAGCTGGTGTATCTTTTTGGCTTTGCCTCAT